GTATTTCAAGTGAAAAACTAACCCCACAAAGATAGAAAAGAACCAACCATGGGAGGTTTGAACACAGTACTCGCTCCAAAGACAGAAAACACTGCAAAGACGTTTTGAACTGGGCCTAGCAGATTTCTCACCTGGAGTGGTATGGCCGTAGCAATTCTGAAACTGTTGCATGTATTATGGGACTGAGCAAAGTAGCAAATACATAGATTCTTCACTGGGGGAGAAAAAAGAGGCTTATATGAATCAGGACAGCAAGAGAAAGACCCCGAGGGGCAGAAAAGGATCGCAAGCATGGGTGTGAACGCAGGGATAAACAGACATCTGTGTCGTCGCCCCGTCTACGGAGACAACCCAGCAGCAAAGAGCACCTGGCACCTAGATCTTGCCTTCTAGATATCACCCACCTGCCTCTCCCAAAAAGGACCCAGGCCTCCAGGAGTGGGTAGGGGGATATGAAATGAGCCTGGAACCTCTTGCTGGGACAGAAAGTCGGGAAGTGCCCAGAGGAAGATGGGGACCTGCGAAAGGACACAGGAGCCAGCTGGAAGGGGCTGCTGCTGGCCAGAGCACCCAAAACAGGGAAAGTCTGAGAAACCATCAGAGCCCAGAGGAACCTAAGGAGACGCGATGACTGAATGTCATGTGGGGTCCTGGGTGGGATCCTGGGACAGAAAATGGACATTAGAGATAAACTAAGGAAATCCTAATAAACAACAGACTTTAGTTAATAATAATGTATCAAAACTGGTTCGTTAATTGTAAACAGATCCGGGGGAACTGGATATGGGGTATATGGGAATTCTTCATACTATCTTAACAATTTTTCTGTATATATAAAACTGTTCTAAAGAACAAGGTCTTTTTTTTTTTTTTTTTTTTAAGGAAAAACAAATGTGTTGGATGAATGAATAGAACCGTGGCCCTGCCATCTCCCAGGTGTCTGACCTTGGTCAAATTACTCCATTTCTCTGTGCCTCAGTTTCTGCATCTGTAAAATGGGGATGAAACCATTGGCACTATATAGGGCTGCACTGAGGACAGGCAGAGCAAGTGAAGCCAGAACACCTTCATCCTGATCAAAGTTGGGTGGGGGCTGCTGCTAGAATTTTGGGTGAGTAGCAAAGGAGGGGTGTGCTCAAATGTCCCCCCAGCTGGGGAGAGAGGCGGGGCTCCACCTTCTGGCTTAAAGTGAGCACTGTCCTCCATAGCTCCAGGTGCCGCGCCCCACACAGGTGGGCGGATAACAGGTAGAACTTTTTCTTCCTTTCCCACTGCAGCTGCTGGCACCTGGGGAAGGTAACCTGAGAAGGGAACGTGGTGGGGGTGGGTGGGTAAAGATGACATTGGCGACATGGCCCCTAAGAAATCACAGGTCTCCAGAATGTCACTTCTTTAATGTCTACCCCACAAGGGGCCCCGCAGAAGGTGAGGGAATAAATACAGGTTGTTACGATACAGCATGCTTGGCCCCCCAGCCTGGGAAGGAGGGGGATCCTGCGGGTCTCGGTTTCTCTCGTCTGCAAACCAGGGCAGGATACATTGAAAGGCACAGCGTTCCTTTGGCGTCTCGTCCCCCTGGCAAAGGCAAGTCCCTGCCCTACCCTGATTCTCAGGCTGGGAGATGCCCTCCAGGAGGGAGTTCCTCCTCCTGTCCACTAGGGGACCCCACAATCCACTCCAGAAGGCGCCTGAAGGGCCACTCCCCATCATCCCAGCTGTGCATCACTCCCAGACTCCTGCCCAGGAGGTGACATGCCCAGAGGTGGGGCTCTTGAGAGACACCCACCCACCCAAGTCCTCAATCCCTGATTTCTTCACCTTTTCCTACACGCTGGCATCCCAAAGGACCACTTTGCTCCCCCCTTTTCAAAGGAGGTAAACTGAGTCAAAGGAAGGGGAACTCAGGGGGGGGCTGTCCTGGTGAGAAACAGAGAGGAGAGGGGGCGGGCCATCCATCCTTCGCCTCGCTCACGAATGGGCCTCCTGCCACCCGGGCCTGAGGCTGGAGCCACAGGAGGGGCATTTGGGGGCCACTCTGGCCACCCACCTGCCCACAGGTGCCACCTGCCCCCTACGGGGCCTGGGTCACAGCAGGTTGATCTCATCCAGGTAGCGGGCGAGCACCGAGTCCCGCACATCCTTGAAGACCTTGCGGATGTTCTGCGTGTCTGTGGCACACGTGTAGTGGCTGAAGAGGCGTCGGGAGCGAGGGCCCTTCTTGCTGCCCTCGGGGCCGTCCAGGCAGCCTGTGTACATGCTGGTGTACATGCCCAGGATAAACCTCTTGGCTGCCTCCACGTCTTGCTTGGGGCCTGCAGGGAGAGAAGTGGGGCAGGGGGAGTCAGGACCTTATGTCTCTTGGGACATAAGGGGGCTCTGGAGACCCTCTTCGCCATAACCAGGGCTGGAAGGATCCGGGAAATTCTCCCACTGTCCTTTCTGGGTTGATGCCATCTTTAGTCATCATAGCTGGTCACATGACTCATGCCCAGCCAAGGGGAGCATCAAAGGTTGGCTTGCAAAAGTCACATGACCTGAAATGAACGAATGAGACTCAGCTCTGGGACTTTAGACAACTGGGTTAAAGAAAGACCCTCTCTCTTGGCTGGGCATGGAGCTGGGAAAGGTGGGAGCTGCAGGGCTGTGCAGATAGGGAAGTTGAGGCCCAAAGAGGAAAAGGGAGCGCCCACAGTCAGCCTGGGAGGCTGCCCTGGTGAGGCATGTTGGGGAGCTCAATGCACACATAGTGAAAGCACAAGGTCAGTTAAGGGCTTCCGGAGTGCTACTCCTGTATCTCTGTGACGCACTAGCTGGGTTGTCTAATAGGTTAATTTCTGTAAGCTTTGTGAGCCTCAGTTTCCTCATTTGTAAAATGAGGACCTAGCCTCATAAAGCTGTTGTGAAGATTCAACATTGTGTAGAGGTCTCGGTGTTTACTCAACAGAAGCCTTCGTGATTGTGAGAGATCAACATTCTTTCAGAATTGGCAGGGTAGTTTGGTGGTTAGGACCAGTGTTTCCACATCCAGGTCCAGGTAGCCTGGGTTCAAATCCTGCCTCTGCCACTCACGGGCTTTGTGACTCTTGGTGAGGGACTGCACCACTCTGTGCCTCTGTTTCCCCATCTCTATAATGTGAGAAGAATACGTCCTACTGCATAGGGGTTTTAAGTAAGAATTAAACTAGCCAGGTAGAGTGTATCCATCAGGGTGGTAGATGTGTTAGCTGTTGCTATTGTTTTATTTTTATTATTATTATGATTATTGTCATAATATTATTTAGTACAGTGGAAGGAAGGGCTGAGAGCCAATAGTTGGCAAAAGGTGTGCTGGTCACTTGTCCCGGGAGGAAGGATAACTTGTGGGGGTTCCCATCGACCTGAATAAAAGACAAATCCCTCAAAACTATCCACCTTACCCTGTTCTCAAATCCTCTACGCCGTGGCTTGATTCCCAGGGCTGCTCAGATGGGAAGGGGGTTGGGAAGTCCAGGCCTGCATCCTGCAACAACTCAACATCTCTCTCCCAGACCCTGAGTCTTGTGGGTGTTATTGACTGAAATTGGCCTCACAGGCTCTGAGATGTGACAAGACCAGGGGTCAAATCTTGGTGACTTCACCAAAGCTTATGTTTACGGACTAGACCAGGTGCCAGGCATGCACTGAGGGCTTCATCTACCATGGTGGCTTGTATACTGGGGTGGACAGTGTCTCCCAAAATTCTATGCACCCAGATCCTCAGACCATATTTGGAAACAGTGTCTGCAGATGTCATTAAATTTAAAATGAGCTCATAGTGGATTAGGCTGGGCCCTAAATCCAGTGACTGGTAGCCTTATAAGAAGAGAAGAGGATGCACAGACATAGAGAGAGGAAGGCCACTTGAACATGAAGGCAGCGATTGGAGTGATGCGTCTACAAGTCAAGGAGCATTGGCCACCACCAGAAATAGGGACAGAGGCACGGAATGGGTTCTCCCTCAGTCTTCAAAGGAACCGACCCTGCCAACACCTTGATTTTGGACTTCTAACCTCCTGAACTGTAAAGGAATACATTTCTGTTGTTTTAAGCCACCTCGTCTGTGGTAGTTTGTTACGGCAGCCCTAGGAAATGAAGACAGCTTGTCTTCAAGATGGCAGCCATCGTTTCCCTCCCTCCCCTATTTTGAATCTGGTCTGGCTTGAGCGATTTGCTTGACCAATAGAATGTGAGAGAAGTAACGTTCTGACACTTCTGAGTCTTGGTCATGAGAAGCAGCTTCCACCTGGGCTGAAGTCTGGCTACCCCGAGACAGCCATCCTGTAAGGAAGCCCAAGCCACATGCAGAAGAGGCCATCTTGGAAATGGATCTCCAATCCCAGCCACCCACATGGATCAGAGACAAACTTACCCAGCTCAACCCCTCCCAAATTCCTGACCCACAAAATCATGAGCAAAGTAAAATGGCTGCTGTAAGCCACTAAGTTTGGGGAGAGTTTGTTTTTCAGCAATAGCTAAGTGAGAGCTGTTTTTGGAAGGGGAAGGGTATAGAACGTCCTAGAACCACTCACCCTGGAAACTGGGGAAGTAGGTAGCCAGGTGGGAGGTGTGGATTTTCTCTTCTAGAATGTCGGTTTTGTTGAGGAACAGAATGACGGATGTACTCTTGAACCAGGGAAGTTCCAGGATGGTGCCAAACAAGGCCAGGCTCTCCTTCATGCGGTTCTGTGTTGGGGGGAGAAACAGGTCCTTGCTCCACCAGGCCAGCTCGGCCCCAGCAGGAGACCCTCCCCACATGGAGATGGGGCCGTTGGCCAACTATCCACGGGATTGGCCTCGTCCCTACCTGCCGGCTGGGTCAGAAGGGGTGTGCCCACACTTCGGGGTGCCTAGCTGCCTGTGTGCACCTATATCGGGTTGAAGAGTGTCCTTCGAAAATTCATGTCCACCTGGAACTTCAGAGTGGAACTTATTTGAAAATAGTGTCATTGAAGATGTAATTAATTCAGATGAGGCCATGCTAGATTAGGGTGGGCCCTACGTTCAGTGACTGGTGTCCTTCTGAGAAGAGGAAATTTGGACACAAACACTGGGAAGAAAGGAGTCCACGTGAAGACAGAGGCAGAGATGGCAGTGATGTGGCCACAAGCCAAGGGACACCAAGGATGTCCAGGGGCCCCCAGATGCTGGAAGAGGCAGGAACGATCCTCCCCCAGAGATTCCAGAGAGAGCTCGCCCCTGCCAACACCTTGATCTCAGACTTCTGGCCTCCAGAACTGGGAGAGAATACATTTCTGTGGTGTTAAGCCCCCCAGTTTATGGTCACTTGTGATGGTAGCCACAGGACACTCTGAGAGGGACACTCAGACACTGGAGTAGGGTGGTCCCAACCCAATATGAGTGGTGTCCTTATAAAAAGAGGAAATTTGGACACAAAGTTGGTGCATGCATGTGCCCGTGTGTCCATGGAGGTATGTATGACTCAGCAGAGGACATATCTATGAATGGGTGAGACAGCACCCAGCTGTCCCTTGGTGTGGCCAGCACGTGGACAGGAATTTCCATACGTGTGTGTGTGTGTGTGTCTGCGGTCCCGGCCATACACATGCTTGTGGGTCTGTGTTTCAGGGTGCAACAGTCTAATGACAAAAGGGCAGAGGGTAAAGCTCTAAGCCAGGCCAGGCACACACAGGACCGTTCAAGAGCAAGGACGGGCTGGCCGGTTAGCTAAGTGTGCGGAGCACGGTGTTAATAACACCAAGGTCAAGGGTTCCATCCCCATACCAGCCAGCAGCAAAAAAAAAAAAGTAAGGATGGGCCTTTCCGGCCACAGAGCTCCCTGCTCAGATGAGTGTCACTGGGCCAACAGGAGGAGAGTGGAGGACACGGTGGCCCTGTACCCACCTCCTGGTTGTTTTCCTCCAGACACTGGTCGTACTCGCTCAGGGAGGCCAGGTAGATGAGGGCGATCACGTTCTCAAAGCAGTGGATCCACTTCTTGCGCTCAGACCTCTGGCCCCCGACGTCCACGATCCTATGGGCAACCGGGAAGCCCCCTTTCAGAGCTCAGGCCTAATGAGGACCCCACTATGTGGCACCTGACCCCAGTCACGTCAGGGATATGCCAAGATCAGTAACAGCAACAGCAAGAATTCGGGACTGCCACTGGGCCGATGCCTCTAGTGGTTTATCTCATGTCGTCCCCAGGAGGCAGAAACTAATCTCACGCCCATTTTACAGAGGAGAAAACTGAGAGGCAGGGAGTAGAGGAGATCTTCCCAAGCTTGGGCTACACTGGCCTGCCTGCTTTCTACCCCACGGTGGAGGGTGGCAGGTTGAAGAGATCTGAGATCTACTCTGGTTCTGGCTGGGTGCCCCTGGGAGGAAATGGCCAAATGAGTCCAGGACTCAGTTTCCCCATCAGTGAAATGGAGCCACTGTGTTCTGAGTGGCCATGGGAGTATCCAGTGGCCACACAGGTGGGCGCAGGGCTGTTCCAGAGCAAGCGCCAGCCCCTCGTCTGTGGCCTAGGAGAAAGGCCAGCTGCCACTCCACACGCCACGACAAAAGCCTGACCCTTCCCCCACCTTCTTGTTCTCTCTTCTAAGAAGTGTGGGTCGCTGATAACAATCTGTGCATCATTTCCCTGGGGGTGCAACTCTGACTCAGGAAAGGCTGGCGTGGACGCTTTGAGCCCAGGCCGGAAACCTCAAAGCGGGAAGGGACTTGACCCCTGTACAGGAGGGGAAACCAAGGCCGGTGACTCAGCAGTTGGGTTATGACTGGTGCCTGCATCTCCTGATCTCTGAGACCAACCCCTCTCACACGTATTCAGAGTCCCTCAAACCCCCATATCTGGAGTGGGATGCGGGGTGCAGCGATCGAGAGTGGGGCTCTGCAGACAGACAGGTGTGGGGTTGGCGACATGCTGGCTGAGGGGCTGCAGGCATCAGCTCTGTCTCGGGTCTCAGTTTCCTCTCAGCTCTTGCTCCATTCACCAGCCCCTCTCCTCAGCTGAGAACATCACAAGTCTCCTCACCTAAAAATCACCTCCTCAGCACGGCCTTCCCCTGGACTTCCCCAAACTCTACCTTCACTCCTAAACTTTAACCCACCCGCCCACCATCCACCCACCATCCATCCACCCATCCACCATCCATCCATCCACCCACCCACCCATCCACCCATCCATCCATCCATCCATCCACCCATCCACCATCCATCCATCCACCCATCAACCATCCATCCATCCATCCACCCACCCATCCACCCATCCATCCATCCATCCACCATCCATCCATCCACCACCCATCCATCCATCCATCCACCATCCATCCATCCATCCATCCATCCACCATCCATCCACCACCCATCCACCCATCCATCCATCCACCATCCATCCATCCATCCACCACCCATCCACCCATCCATCCATCCACCATCCATCCACCAATCCATCCACAATCCACCCATCCATCCATTCATTTACCTGCCCACCTGTTCATCCACACATTCACTCATCCTTCCATTTACCCATCCACCCACCCATCTATCCATCCACCCATCCTTCTATCCATCCACCCATCCACCCATCCTTCTATCCATCCACCCATCCTTCTATCCATCCATCCATCCACCCATCCTTCTATCCATCCACCCATCCTTCTATCCATCCACCCATCCTTCTATCCATCCACCCATCCACCCATCCTTCTGTCCATCCACCCATCCACCTACCCATCCATTCCCTTCCATCTTTTCAACCATCCACCCACATTTACCAACTTCCACTCTGATCTTGTGCCGATGACTAAAGCAGAAGAATCACACTCAGCTCCTGACCTTGCGGGGCGCTCTGTCTAGTGGAGGACACCCATGGTAAATGGACAGATTAGGAACCTGCCTGGTGAGGACTATTGCAGAGGCAGAATAGCATGTTTGGGAGATCCAGGAAAAGGGACAGGGGTCTGTCTCAGGCATTGCCCTGCACCCCTCCTCAGCTCCCTGCCACCATCCTATGGCAACAGCTTTCACTAAGGCCATCAACAACCCTCTAACTGCCAATCAGAGAGTCGTCTTTCACTGTGTTCTTCTTGACCTCTCGTTGACTTTTGACATTGGCCATCACTCTGCTGGACGACCCCTTGCTGCACCGACCCCTCTATCTTCCAGCTTGCACCTGTGTGCGTCTGGTCTGGCCACCTCCCAGATGCCCCCAGGCACATCAGACTCATCTGTCCCAAATGACTTCATTGTGTGATCACCCCCACCTGCTGGCTCCACCATCTGCCTCGGTCCCTTTGGCATAGCCCTGACCACAGAGCCACTGTTTCCTCCTCCCCAGCAGCCCCTGAAGGGTTGGGACTGGCCAATTCCCATTCACCCTTCAATACCCCAATACCAATGTCCCTTCCTCCAGGAAGACCTCCCCTTGCTGGAGGTGTCTGTGTCCGACTTTGCCTCCTCCAGCCTGGAAGCCCTTTGAGGGCCGGGACTAGGAAACTCCTGGTCATCCTTCAGGGCCCCGCTCCTGTGCCCACCTACGGAACGCCCTCCCCACCCCAGCCCAGGCTGAGCGCTCACCGCAGGTTGGTTTTCTGCACGGAGAAGCAGTACTCATTGATGCCGGTGGTGGGCATGCGGCTGCGGAGCACATCTTGGGCCGTGGGGACGTAGCCGTCCTCGGTGATGCGCTCCAGGTGGGACAGGTAACTGTGGAGCAAGAAGCCCTGAGGCCCGGCCCTGCAGCCAGCCTCCCTTTGCTTCCCAAACCCCCACGTGGGGCCCCGCGAGACCCTGCTGGGCAAGGAGAGCCCCCTGGGGTTTGCAGGTGGCCAGGAGCACCCCCGTGAGGCAGCGGAGTGTTGGCGAGAAGGAGCCTCACCCCAAGGACAGTGTGACATCAAGAATAGCCTCACTGGGAAGCAGCATCACCTTCAGACAGGTGTCACCCCAAAGGTGACAGTGCCCCAAGAACAGAGACAGACTGAGAAGGGGGCCCCAGGCCACCCAATCACCCTGGACATCCAATATCATTCCCAAAACAGCAGCACCCCCAAGAACACCACCACTGTACAGCAGACTCACCCCAGGAAGGACACCACCCTGAGGCAGGGTCACCCTGGGGAGGACACCACCCTACAGCAGGACCATCCCACAGCCAGTCAGTGTGCACAGCATCTCCTGCAGTCTGGAGACAGCTTGGGGCCCCCTCTGCCAGGTTTGGACCCCTGGGGCAGGGTCTACACTGGCTGCATCTCAGCCTCCGGTGTGCCCGGTGCCCGCCCTGCCCTCAGCCCTCCCGCACGCTCCCGAGCCCAGGCCCGCAGACTCAGACTCACTACACGGCCGAGTCGAGCAGGTGGAACTCGCGCCGGCGCTCGTAGCAGGCCCGGACGCCGGCGTCACTCCACAGCCACTGCATGGACACGGCGTAACGCTTCTCGAACGTGGTCACTTTGTAGGGGTCTTGGCTCATGACCAGGCTGGCGTGGTGCTGGAGACGGACGGACAGGGCCAGTCGGGCAGCCTGTTGGAGTGGGGCTGCCCCCATCTCTGCAAGCCCCCCTTGCCTCTCCCTCAAGCAGATTCTCTCCCTCTGCCTTCTTTGCTCTCCTGGCACCCGTCTGATGGCCCCTGTGCCTCTGATTAGTCCTTCATATGTTCACGTATGGATCTGCAGGGGGAAGGGCACAGGCCGCAGCACAAGCAGCAGCAGAGGACACGTATGCAGGATAGAAATGACACCCATGGGTACTGATCACCTCCTAAGTGTCCGGCACCTGCTGGCTCTTTACATGGAGTGGCTCTTTGATGCCTCACTGACTCCTCTGACACAAGTCACTATGGGGTTGTCCCCATTTTACAGATTAGGTGACTGAGGCACAGAGCAGTGAAGCAATCTGCCCTGAGCTGGTCCCCCAGCAGGTTCCCCACAGTGACTTCTGCTCCATCCAGGCTCCAGCATTGTTCGGACCTCTGTGATGGACTCTGGGCTTGTGTGTGCACACGTGCGTGGATATGTATCTGGGCGTGGGCATGTGCTTGTGGGTACATGAGTGTATGCTTGTGTGCATTTGCGTGTGTGCCTAGGTATGCGTATGCGTGGGCATTTATATGTGGGTGCTGGCATGTGCATTTATGTGCATGTGTATATGTGGGGTGTGTGTGTGTGCTTGTGCATGCACATGTGTGCATTTGTATGTGCACGTGTAAGTGTGCATAGGTGTGTGTGTGGCCAGGTCGGTGTTATACGTGCACTTCTTTTTTTTTTTTTTTTTAAAAAGATGACTGGTAAGGGGATCTCAACCCTTGGCTTGGTGTTGTCAGCACCACGCTCAGCCAGTGAGCAAACCGGCCATCCCTATATAGGATCCGAACCCGTGGCCTTGGTGTTATCAGCACCGCACTCTCCCGAGTGAGCCACGGGCCGGCCTTATACGTGCACTTCTTAAGCATCAGCCCCAAACACCATTCTATGGATGTTGGCTAGGGGGCCAAAGGAGTAAGAAGTCCTGGGCAGGATCTGGGATCCCACAACCAAAGACGCATTGTTGGGTGCCAACTTGGCCATCCCCCTGCCTCAGGCAGGGCACACACAAAAGGCCATGTCCCAAGACATTTTCCCCATCAGCCTCCATGGGCTCGGGCCTTTTGGGCCAAATCTGGGTGGCCAGGCTAAGGCTGGCCCCAGCAGGGCCACAAGGAAAGGAATTTGAGATTGTCGCAACCCCCTCTGTGCTTCCCTGCAGTGTCTGAATTTTCCATAGTGGATACGTGTTTCTTTCATAATTACATTGAGTGTGGAGAACATCTGAGTGTGTGTGAGTAAAGGCTGGTGAGCCTGGGGAACATGGAGTGTCTGCGGGTGGAAATGGGTAATGCCTGGAGGTTTGGAGTAACCTCTGCATAGGATCAGGGACCTACAAAAAGTTTGCAGCATGTTACAGGCTGAATTTTGCCCCTCCACCCCAAATTCATATTCTGAAGTCCTAATCCCCAGGATCTCAGAGCATGACTGTATTTGGAGATAGTCTTTAAAGAGGGGATTAAGTTGATGTCATTAAGATGGACCCTAATCCAATCTGACTGGTGTCCCTATAAGAAGAGTAGATTAGGACACAGACACACACAGAGGGATGACCATGTGAGGACACAGGGAGAAGACAGTGTCTACACGCCAAGGAGAGAGACCTCAGAAGGAACCAGCCCTGTCTACACCTTGATCTCAGACTTCCAGCCTCCAGAACTATGAGAAAATACATTTCTGTAGTTTAAGCTGCCCAGTCTGTGATACTTTGTTATGGCAGCCTGAGAAAACTAATACACAGCCTGAAAATATATTGGCTCCAACATTTTGAAAAACACAGACAATCAAAATGAATAATAATTTTAAAAGCAAAAATGAGGGTCAACAACCTTTTAAAAATTCTCAGGAATAATTATATTCCAAGTAGGCTCTGAGTAGATCTTAACATGCTTTGAATGAAGTGGATGTGGGTCCTTTGAAGCTCTTACAAGGCAGGAGACTTTCCTTCTGAGATGGAGAGTGAGAGAGGATGCCCTCTCTCATTATGTCTAATCAATACTGTACTGAGATCCTAGCCTGTGCAATAAGACAGGAAAAAAGAAACTAAAGATATAAGGTTTGGAAAGGAATAAATTACACTACAGTTATTCACAGCTGACATAATTCTAAAAAAGAAAATCTGAAGTACTCTAGAGGTAAACTATCAGAATAAACAAGTACATTTAGCAAGGTCCCTGAAAGCAAGGTCAACACACAAAAATCAATTATTTGTGTCTGTATGCTAGCTGCTAATCAGTGGGGGGAATATTAATTTAAATACCATTTGCCAAATAAATAAATAAGAAGAAATACCATTTACCATAGCATTAAAAGACATCAAATATATTCAAACATATTCAGACTCCCTAAATATATATATATACTGATTAATAACGATGAACTTAAAAGACCTCTACACGAAAAACTACAAAACACTGCTAAGAGAAAATTTTAAAGACCTGAATAAATGAAGTGATATACCATGTTCATGGATTGGAAGATTCAGTAT